GTGTGTGTGTGGCCAGCTCAGCCCACCAGGGGGCGGGGCTGGCTGGCATGTGGTGCTGGGGAATTGAACCGCGGTCCCTGTGCTTTGCCAAGCTTGTTCTAAGTAGGCGCTTTAGACCACTGAGCCATCTCTCCAGCCCTAAAGTTTAAGAATTATTTTAAAAAGCTAAAGAGCAATAAAAAAGGAAAAAAGAGATGTGGAGAATCATGTACCATCATTAATGGCATATTTAATTAGAGATCCATAAGATATAATAGGAGAAAAAAATCTTTGAAGCAACGGAAGTGGAGAATTTTCTAGAAGTGATGGGAACCATAAATCCTCAGATTCAAGAAGCAAAACAAGTTCCAAGAATGATAAATTCATGACAACATAAGGGTAGCCAAACAGCAAGATTCAAAAGTCTGATGGTATGCAGAGAGAATGGTTATGCATTAATGAATATGTTAATTAATGAGCATAGTGGTGCTTTTCTGTAATCCCAGCGCTTGGGAGGCTGAGGCTGGAGGATCATATTGAGTTCAAGGCTAGCCTATGCTACAGAGTGAGGTCAAGGCCAGCCTGAAATATAAGGAGAGACTCTCAAGAAACAACCAAAGATTGGATATTAGTAACTAAACATAAAAAAATACATGGGCAGTAGTAAGTGGTTTGGCAGGAAGGATGCTTTGAATTAAAACATTCTGAGGGATTTCTTTGCTTAGGGTGAGAATAAAATACTGACTTTAGGCTTCTAGCAGACTTTGAAGCAGATTCTTCCCATGGTAGGCCTGCAAAGGAGAATGTAGTCTGGCCAGGCCTTGCTTGCAACCTGAGGCTCTACAGAATGCAGTGAAACTGGCTAGACTGTTACCACACATTCACTGTGAGATGATAAATGTGTATCGTTTTGTGCTGCTGGGTTTGTTATGCAGCCATAGAAAAACCCAGTACAGTTTGCTGAAGGTCTGTCTCAGGCATTAGACACTAAGGTCTGGGATGTGCCTGTCTTGTACCATTGAATCACCAGCACCTGACAACACTTGGCCCATGATCAATAAATATATGATGATTGAATGATTAAAAAGAATGAATTCAGGAACCAGGGTTTGAATCCTTCCTTTATTGCCTTGTTTTTGTGATTCTGATTGCCATAGTTTAAACAGCTGGTTTTATGACAAGGCGATTTGTCTACTATCATTGGGGAAAATGAAGCATAGTTTTGGCACCTTGCCCTCCTGAGGCAAACTTATATCTGCACTTAGGGAAACTGGCCTTAAGAAGTCTTCATCTTTTTCTGCCTTTTCAAGCTCACTAACAGATAAGAGGCTGAAGGCTCTACGTTCAGATGTGGCACACAGAAGTCTTCTTGTAAGAAGACTATATAGCCCATCTTCAGAATTCAAATGATGTATGTGCTTGTTTTTTAGCACCCTGAAGATGGCCCTTGAAGTCTTCAAGCAACGTAAGTGATTTTTAAAAACTGCTTGCTGTCTCTATTTGGTGTTATTGTTTGCTGTCTTTGGTAGCTCCATGTCTGTCATCAAAGGCAAGTTTAAATTTGATGAGCGGGGCTGGGGAGATAGCCCAGCAGTACAGCACCTGCCTGGAAAGCACAAGGTCCTGGGTTTGATTTCTGGTACCCCCACAAGAATGCTAAATTTGAGCAACTTTTTTTTGTGTGTGTGTATATGTGTGTATTTAGTACAGGGTCTACAGGTTCTCTTTACATAGATTGGACTTGTAGTGATCCTCCTGTTTTCAGCCTCCCAAGTGCTGGGATTATGGGCGTCCCATTGGCTGGTTTGGTGAGCCCTGGGCAGGGCCGGCATGGCATGTGGTGCAGGGGATTGAACCCCAGTCCCTGCACTTGCCTAAGCAGGTGCTAGGTCCACTGAGCTTCTCACAGGTTCTGGCCTTCTTAGAGCAGCATGCCTCACACTGGAGTGATCATTGCAACCATGTGGACGGCTGGTTTTTAACATGGCTGCTGAGTCCATCCTGAGCTGCTGCTTCTTTTTTTTTTTTAAACAAGTTTATTTAAACAACAAGACACTTGACAAAGGAAAAACTATCTAGGATTCTTCTTTTTTAAAGAGTAATTTACTCCTACTTAAAGACAGATTGCCCTACATGTAACAGCTACGTACAAAAAAGTTACAAAATTGTCCTTGGTTTTACAATGATAAATGAAAAACATTAAAATTCTCCAATCAAACAGGGTATGCAAGGAATTTTATATTGCTGTCTTTTCTGTTAAAACAGTGAGAGCAAAATAACTTACTGGAATATAAAGATAAGAGCTGATGAGCATGCCACTAATGGAGAAAGGGGATTATTTTCACAGAACCAGTAATTCCCCTTCTCATCTCCATTTGATGTCAATCAAAACATACTGTTGGCCATTTAGTAAAAAAAAAAAAACAATATGCTTGTGCACATACACCAGATACTTTATGTACAATAAAGGAATGGGAAGGGGTAAATGAAAGAATAAACTATACTGTAGTAGTCAGGATGTGGTGGAACCAAATTGCAGTTTTCTAATTGAGAATGTATTCTTGGTCTGTAAGAACAGAGTTCTGGAGTAGTTGCAGGTTCCCTTTTTAGTAGACACCGCCTGACTGCTGCTGGAGCACGTCAATTGTATCTTCATCCTCCATTTCCAACTGTCGTTCACAATAGGCTTTCATTAGTTTACTAAGTGGTGTATGCCTCTTAATCTTAAACTACACCACAGAACCATCCTGCCCCGCCACCTTCAAATTAATGTGATCGTTGTTTTCAGTCTTGACTCCTTCCTTGGGCTTTTCGTCGGCCATAGTGAATGCCCGAGTCTTCTTAGCTGCTGCTTCACAAAAGAGGTACCAGATCCACACCAAATGAGCACACAAGCAGCACCAGGAGCCCATCCTGAGCTTCTGATCCAAAAAGTCTGGAGCGGACCTGAAATTCTGCAGGTTTTGAAATTTTCCAAGTGATGATGCTGAAGCCACTGGTCTGGGAACCACATTGGAGAAACACCCTTAAGAGTTGTGTATCCTACTTCATTTCATACAGCTCAGGAAGTAGTCACCCAGATGCTCTGCCACCTGCCTCAGCCGACATGTGTGCCAGCCCCACCCCTGTGTGTTCTTAGGCACTCTCTGGCTTCCTCTTCCCAGACCAGCTCTGCAGGCTTCAGACTCTGGACAGTGTTGTAAATGACTCTCCAGTTCTCTCAGATCCTTAACCTTTTTTTTTTTTTTGTCTTTTTGTGACAGTGTTTTGCTGTGTAGTTCAGGTTGAACTCACTGTAGGCCAGGCTGGCCTCAAACTCAAAGTGGTCTGCTTGCCTCAGATTATAGGTATGTGCCACTGCATCCAGTCCCTAAACATTTTTATACAGGAGAAATATTTGATTACAAGAAGCCACAAAGGAAATGTTGTCTTGGTATCCTCCCCTCTCTCACCCTAACCTGGCATGTGGCACTTTCCACTGTGCACTCGTCAGTGGATAAGTGTAGCACCTCATGATCCAGTCCTCTTCCAAAAGCCTTACTTTTGTATACTTGGGGGGAACATTTTGGATCCAAATCATACTTTCTCACCTCATCCATGGCATCAGCTCCTGCCTTTTTTCAGAGAATGTGCAGATGTGTATCTTTGTTCTAGAACTCTCTGAGCCCCAGTCCTTATGCTCCATCCCCTACTGCATGTTTCTTCTTGGATTCTTCACAGCCACCTTAAGTCAAGACTGTTTGCCTCAGAGCTCATGATTTTCCAGAATGATTGACTGAGAAAGTTTGAGGTCATTTGTCTCTGTAATTCTTACTTATTTTTAAATTTCTCTTCAAAGTCAAGATGCTATGTTCTAGGATATCATGTCCGCATCTTGAACAGCAATTAACCACTAGGAAGAATGTACGCAATGTGTTAATTATTGAAACTGTCCTACCAATTTGGTTTGAAACTGTCTCATTGCTATTTGTTTCTCAATAAAATTATGAAAAAAAAATGCTATGTTCTAGAACTAACAGTACCCTCCTCCCCATTCTTCTTTATCCTCTTAGAAAAAGACTTCAGTGAGTGGAGCTTCATTGTGGTGTGGATGTTTTTCTCATTTCACACAGGCGTTCTAATTTTATTATGCTTCTTGAGACAGTAAAGGCTGATTCCAAGAAAAAACTGAAAGTCTTTGGAAATGCAATGTCAGAATTTTCAGGGTTTATCTTTGCTGGGGTGAGACTCTATTTCCTGTATGTTTTTGTAGGGAGGAAGAGCTTTTCTTCCAGTGGGGCCATCTTTGCTTTTTCAGATGGCTCATTCTTTTTCGGTCCTGTGTCTCAAGTTGAATGGAAAGCCCAAGTCATGGTGCCTTCAGCATATTTTCTTAATCTCTCTATTTTTGTTTTTGTATTGTGGCCTTTGGCTTTAAATCTAGAGTCTATCCTTTCCAGGCCTGGTGGTCTCAGGAACTGAGAGCCTGCTTCTGAGGCTTTCCGTCCTGAATGTTTGGCGTCTCCCAGCTAGCAACTTTAATGGGCACAGTTTGTGTGGCTTGTGAAGTGTTTCTGTAGCTGCTGAGGGATGTGCTGTTGGAACAGTCTGTGTTTTCTGCTCTCACAAAACAATGATCAACACAGAAGCCTTCAGATACCAGATGTATGGTGGCTTCTCTCTCCCAGCAAGTAAGCAGCCTCTTTTGTAGTAGACACCAGCTAACTAGGATATTAGTTATCCTCTAATCCACTTCATTTCCCATCAACTAAGAGACAGCAGCAAATACCATAGGTTGTGAGCTCGTCCCCAGGACAGCCTTGCAACCCCTCCTTTGATGTCCCTTGCAAGCCCTAGCTTGTTTTATTGGTGGCTTCTTATTATTTACTTAAAAATCAGGGTTCTTAGAATCACTCTTTTGAGCAGCTCATAGAGCTCAGGAAAACACTAACTTACTCTTGCTGGTTTATTATGAAATATACTGAGGAAGAGTCTTATAGGGTGAGATATAGGAGAAAGCTGTGGAGCTTCTCTGGTTTTTCAGAATGACACCCCACTCCAGGAACCTACACAGAAGCTTCCAAACTCTGTCCTTCTGGGTTTTCATGGAGGTTTCACTGCATAGGCTTGCTTTCTAATGTTTCAAGTGGGGAACCCCAACAAGACCTGTCTGTTCAGGTTCTTCCTGGCTTCTTTATGCAGCATTCTTTTCTCTAGGGAATAGGCAGGAATTCTCTGCACTGAGGAGGATCTTATGACCTATTACGGGGTAGTGAGGGAAAAGAATTTCTTGAGGCAGGAGGATAGTCAGGAGTCTGAGGCCAGCCTGGGCTACATAGTTAGTTCAAGTCAGCCTGAACTACATAGTGAGAACCTGTCTAAAAAAATAAATAGGGAAGCAGGGGAGATGACTCAGTGGAATAAGCGCTTCCCTGGCAAGCGCAAGGGCCTGAGTTCAATCTATATTATACATATAGAGACATGAACAAGTTTTTATATAAGAAGATACTCCACATATTTCTCTATAATTTGCTTTCTTTCTGTTTTTTTTTTTTTTTTTTGTGGAACCGGGGATTGAACTGAGGCCCTTGCGCTTGCCAGGGAAGCACTCTTTCCACTGATCCATCTCCCCGGCCCCTATAATTTGCTGTTTTAATGTAGCATAGAGAATTTTCTATTTTCGTTCATACAGCTCTGTCTTATTCTTTTCCATTTAAAATTTTTGACTCTACAAAATATAGTATTTCCTCCAAAAAGTTGTGCTGATTTTTTCCCTGCCAGCAGGGTCATTTTTTTCTATGTTCATCAGTACCCAGAATTTTCTTGTTTTTATTTTTTTTAATTTATTTTATTTTTTTTGAAAGGAAAAAGTATGTACGTTTATTTTACACAGTTGGGTGAAAAATAAATTTGAGAGAAAGTAAGATAAAATTTAATATGGTCTCATACGCCCTGAAGGAGGTGGTGCCCAATTTGGAGGGGTAATCGCTATGTCCAAGTAATCGCCTATTTGGAACTTCTGTGACTGCAGAGTCTGGAATCATCCGTCCCCTTTCTGCCAGACATGGTGCTGCCAATCTCCTTAACTCGATAGCCAGGTCTTTTAAGATCCATGAAAACAATTGCAAAATTGAAGTGTGTGCCCTTCTTTCTAGCTTCTGGGTAGACTTCTTTTACTAAGCTAGTTAGTTCTTTCAAAGTTGCATCTATCCAGGTGTAGATCTGCAGCTCGCTGGACTGGACGTTGCCGCTGGAGAACTCGTCCATACGGTGGTGCCGACTGTTGTTGGTGGTGAACACCTGGAGCAGCAGTGGACATGTCTTCTCGCGGTCAATTGGCTTCTCTGGCTCTTTCTTAATTTCCTCCTGAGTAACTCGTGACTCCACCGCCATCTTCTTACTCTTCTTGTTTTTAAAATTTTACAAAACTTAAAGAAAAAAATGACATATCTTGGGTTTTAAAGTTTTACATATTTTCAGTACTTTAAGAGATGAATATATTATCAATTACAAATTGGCCACTTAAACCAGTCTTTTCTAAATTTCATGTTATTTAAATTATTTTTTAATCCTGGAATATAAATATTCTTTTTATTTGAGAAATTTCTTTTAATATAACTACTTTCTCTTAATTATATAAATTGTACATATTTTTCTGTTTTCTTCATATATCTTCAAGATTATTTGAGCAGCACAAATTTAAAATTTTTTCTTAGATAAGATCTGGGGCTGGAGAGATGGCTCAATGGTCTAAAGCACCTACTTGGAACAAGCTTGGCAAAGCTCAGGGACCACGGTTCAATCCCCCAGCACCACATGCCAGCCAGCCGCGCCCCCTGGT